TAGAAATAAGCTCTCTGTGACTGAATTAACTTTTTCAGAATGAAAAAAAGTTTGATTTTTTTTTTTGGATTTAAGAAAACTGCTGCTTTAATTTCACACCATAAACTTCTATAACACATACCTTAATTAGTGGGACCTGTAATATACTCAAGGAAAAAAAATGGTTTTATGTATAAAAGTCACAATAAAGAGAAATAAAAATATATTTTATATTAACTCATTGAAAATAAGAAATTAAGTTCTCAAAAACAAATTTCTTGTTTATTGTATATTTATAGTTCAACCTGCAGAAATCTTCAGCTTCATTTCTATTTTTCCTAATTTTCTTTGTGATATATCATTATCATATTGGTTCTCTCTTATTCTTTGAGCTTTGAAGAAAATGTGACAAGTGGAATAAATTGTCCTCAGTTTGTATTTAAGGTAGGTCTTTTGATAATTCAATTCCAGATATTTTATAATTTATTCTAAATACTGTAATGATTCTAGGATATCTCACCCATAAAAAGTCAAGTTTTTTCACAAGTTTGAGATATAATAGCATACAAGCATTAGCTACTAAGCCTAAGAACTATCTTCAAGGATAAGGAAATATGGTAATAACCTGATTATGACTCATGTGATATGATTCATAAAAGCAACAAATGCAGTAAAAATAAAAATATGATTGAATTAGTAAAGCAAAAGATCTGGAACTGAACTGGTTATTTGCTACAAGGATCTGTGATTTCACTGCTGTGAAATATAGATCTTGGCATATATATATCTTCACTAACATGGAGGATCTTGGTTGTTCTTCACCTTCTTTGACTGTTTTCATGAGTTATCATGGCTGAAATAATTTATTACCTTGTGACCAGCCTTCTAAGTGATAGATCTCTTCAAGCTGAGCGAGGCTAGCCAACTGATACATCAACAAACACTTTTTAAGTGCCGAGCTGGTGCCATGGAGCATACAAAAACAAAAATGAAAATTTCTTGACCTTCAAAGAGTTTACAGTGGGGTGGGGGAGGGGGAGGGGGAGATGACTTCATGTAAATGAGTACATGCAAAATAAGTATCAGATACTTTTTTGAGGGGAACATCGCAGCTAGCAGCAGGATGGTGGGGATGGAAATCAGGAAAGATGTCACATGGAAGGTGGTGTGTGAGCTGAATTTTGTAGGATACTAGTGATTCTAAGCGGCAGAGATGAGGAGTGAGTACATCCCAGGAACTGGGGAAAGCCTACACAAGGCACAAAGATGAGAGATGGAATATTTTATGTTCCTCAGACAACAGATATGGCGTTCTATTTCCTCAATTATGCAAATCAAAACCCATCTATGCCTTTACAATCTGCATGTCCCCTCTCCATATTTTCCCAAAAGTTTCTCACAGGGGCTCACTCAATATGCTGGAGGACTTCACTGCTTTCTTTTAGCATCATGAGGATACTAATAGAGCACAAGGACTGTTGGTCAATTATCTCTCACTCTCACCATGTGACCTGCCCATCATTTTTGCTTACTTTTTTTGACAAAAAAAATCCTTTGTACTTCTTGAATGAATGAATGAATGAAAAAGCATTTATCAAGCACTTACTCTGTACAAAGCACTGTGCTGAGCATTGGGGATATAAACAGAAAAGCAAGATAGTCCCTGCTCTCAAGAAGCTCCTATTCTAATGGAGGAGACAACATACATGGAAAGTTTCAGCTGCAAGTCAGATGGAAAGGTCCCATGGTCCTTAGGATGCAGCAGCAAAGCAGATGACAATACTTCTTTAATCTCATTTTCACTGAAAAATCAAATCAGTTTCTGATATTGAACCATTTATAAGCACCAAGGACTTTGGTGGCAAGAACTTTCTTTTCTAGGTTTTTAATATCTGTGGCTGTAGTACCTGTAGGAGCAGTTGATGGGCTGTGTCCTATACAGGGGCTGCCTCCCAAGATGATGGCTACGAGGACTAGTCTGGAAGGATTGCTAATTCCAAGGTTCTGGGGGTCAGGGTCCTGGGCTACCTCTATCAGGATCTGAAAGAGATGGTGGTCAAGGTAGTGTAGGTCAAGGGGATGTAGGACTTGCCTGGCACCTGTTATACCCTCTCTCTCCCTCAGGAGAGGGTGGTGCTTGCCTGGTACTTCAGCTAGGTAGGTTTTCCTTCCCTATAGACTGAAGTTAGTTGGCAGTTCATGGGGTTGGCTGGCCCCTTCTCCAGAAGAGTTGTCTTCCACAGATGATGGCTCTGAGGATTGGGCTGGAAGCTAGACTGGTGGTCTAGGAGGTGCTCCCAAGGATCTTGTGCCCCTCTTCCTGTTGGTGGTAGTTGGTCAGTAATGGTTGTCAATGGTGGTGACGAAGTTTGGCCCTTCTTCTTTTCTCCCTCATTCCCCATAATTCCTTGACATAATATGTCCTGCCCTCTTAAAGCATACCTTTCTATGCTCTCTGCATGAGCTTCAATTTGAATACTTCAGAGACTGGTCAGTGTCTCAGAGCCATATAACCATCCATAAGAAAGAATACTATCTTTGCATGCTGGAAACCAACTCTGCCAGTTCCATGGAGAGTCTGTAAGCCATCTATTCATTAAGTTGCAACTTCTTCCTGTTTTCCAGTTTCATTTACAATGAAAATATCAAGATTAATATAATTCAGTTCATCCAGTAATATGTCCCTTTGTTGGACACCAGAAAAAGGTCTCACATTCAAAGTACTAGTAGCTAAGTTAATGTTTGTGGATGGTCTAAAATCTGCTATTCTCAGCACCTTCTGCCTCATTTTCTACAACTTTGCCACCATCACTGCAGTGGGAAAGGGAGCCAGCCACAAAGGTAAAAGAGTCATTTTGTATTTTCCTTTATTGTACAAGTTGACATTACCAAGACAATTCCACACCAAGTAGCCTGATAAGCATCTCTGCCCTTGGCTAGGCTGGTCTTCAAAAAGCAGACAATGTTATGCCAGGCTCAAAACCTTTCTATAGCATGATGGGACCTGCTAGAAGAGCCTAGAATACACTGGAATAGCTTTCAAAAACCTACAGTCACCTCTATGTCATTAAGGCTCCCAATTCTATCTCAAGAATCCTCAAGGATTGCGGGAATATCGGTACGTAGAAGAGTCCTGATCTGCCACCACTATGTTGTAAAATCTCCAAAAATGCACCAGCAGTAACAATGATGAAGAAAACCAAAAATAAACAGCCATACAGTCCTTCATCCTGTCTAGGACTTCTGAAAAGACTGAAGCTCAGTCAACATGAAGCACTTATTAAGCACTTACTGTGTGCCAGGTGTTGTGCTAAGTGCTTTACAAATACTATCTTCACAACAACCATGGGAGGTAGATACTATAAAAAGGTAAAAGAGAGTCATTGCTTTTAAGGGGCTCACAGTCTCATGGGGGAGAAAACACCCAAACAGATATGTACGGGCAAGATACTTACAGGATAATTTGGAGATAATCAATATGGTGGAGATAAGCCCAGGCAGGCAGAAACCAAAGCATGGAACCAAACAAGGAGAAAAAGTGAGACCAGCACCCAGACAGTCTGGGGCTTAGGCAATGTACCAGAGGCATGGCAATGATGCGTGTCTGGGAAGTTCAGTCCCCAGTGGGCCAGGCAATCCCAACAATGGCAGAATGGCATACACAACTGAGTTAGCATTTGCACCCAGATTTTCTTGTTGCAAATTGTGCACTCTCAACAATATGCAACAATGTGTGGATTTTCATTTAGCTGCTATTAATTGAACTATATGGTCTCTGAGGTTACTTCCAAACCCAGGATTCTGTGATTCTCTCATCACCCAGGTTCATGACTTCAGTTATCCTTGACTCTCCCCTATCCTTCACCCCCTCACACACACACACCTAATCATTAGACAATTCTGCTCCTACCTCCAGAATGTTTCCTGTAATGTCCACTCTGCTCTACACTCCTTGTCCGACTTCAGAATCATATCATCTCTCACCTGGACTCTTGGAATAACTTATCACCTGGCCTTCCTGCTCCCAAGCTCTCCCTTTTCCCATCTATCCTCCATCCAACTGACAAAATAATCTTCTTGATTCGGTGTCATTCTTCTGCTCAAAAAACTTTCTGTGGCTCCCCCTGCCTCTAAGAAAAAATATGAATTCCTGAGGCTGGCACTTGAGGCCCTCCACAGTCTAGTCCCCATCTACCTTTCCAGCCTTATTTCATACTGCACTCTCTCACAAACTCTATGTTCCTGCCAAACTGATTAAATGTGTTCCAGAAGCCTAAATTCAACATTCTAATTCCACATCTTCATGCAAGCCTTTGCCCAAGCCCAGAAAGTATTCACTTTCACCTTTGCCTTGTGGAATCCTTGGCAACCTTGGAGGCTCAGCTCATGTGCCATCTCTTCCAGAAAGCTTTCCCTCGTATCTCCAGCTGTGATCCCTCTCTGCCTCCTCCTTCTTCCTTATACAATACAGGACTGTTCCTTTTTTCTCCTTGTATTTTCAGCCTCTACCACAGGACCCTGAGCAGGATAGGTACTTTAAAATATTTATCAAATTGAATTGAAAGGTCTGGACCAGACAATTTCTAAGATGTCTCCCAGCTCTAAACCTTTTGCCCGCTTTGTGATTTGGTAGTATCAATAAATCTTTGTTGATGCATATATTATTGATGGAGAAGTTTTGATAATTTGAAGAGGGTGTTATTTATCAGAAATGCAAGTATGAAATTATGATAAGACTGAAATGTTAGGTGATGACAGAAATGTATGGGGACATACTGTCCTTTCCATTCATATGTAGCTATATTTTCAAAAGGTTAAAGAAAATACATTATAGCATTTAGGAGAAACGCTACTAAAAGAATGACATTGATTTCAGGACAGAAGATCTTACTACACTGTAACGTTATCATGTTTGGTCTTCAAAATGTATCCATACATTTTATACTCTGTAGAAATACATTTCAATTTAAAGTATTTCCCTTACCAGAACTGACTGAGAATAATAAAACAATGAATCTTACCTCCAGTCTTCCATGGTTACAAGCTAGTAAGAATAGATTGGCTCTGTCCTTTTCACTAGAAATAGGAGACCAAGGCCAAACATCATCATTAGCTGTTTCCCACCAACAAATGGCCATATCTTGAATACAATTGATAGCTAGATGACGTATTATTCTCCAGGATATTGGGCCAGGTATTTCCAGGTAGGATATCTAAGGTATCAAAAAAAGGAGGGGAGGAGTACAAGAAACATTTAGTTTTTAAGTGAAAACTCCTCAAAATACAACAAGAATTAAACTGTCTTCTAAACATGTAGATTCTATATAAATGCACATAAAAATACATGTTAAATGTGCTCTTATGTGTCAAAATTTTTCAAATTCTTTTGACATATCTAAAAAGATAAATGCTCAAAATTTGCCCATTTTTAGTTGAAGGAATAAAAAGGAACAATGTGAGTTCAGAAGGGATTTTCTGCAGTGACTCTAATCAATACCAAAATGTACAGTCATGGTTGCTTGACAGCATCGACCTACACACAGGATTTAAGACCAGCAATATGAAATGACAAGTTCAGTGCTGCCGACCAGAAGCCTCTGACAACTGTTTCAGACACAACAGTTAATAGTTAAAAAGAAAAAAACAATCATGACAATAAAAGAAGAAAGGATATTTGGCAAATATTAGCTTGAGGAATTTACAAATATATTACATATATGTGCACACACATAGATCCTGCATGATGGAAACAAACAACAAATTATGAACATGAAGTTTATGCAGCTCATAAAGACTGTGCTTCTATTTTTCAGGATAGGATTTGCAGAATTTATTATTCAAACTATGCTATTTTGGAACATGGTTATTTGAAAACATGAGCAGTGCACCACATCTGGGTGACACATGCCAAGGAAATATAGATTGCACTGCATTTCTGCTTAAGGAATTAATGGAAGGTTGATAGCTAGGAAGAAAAAAAAACTATCTTGCCATTGCTGGTCAGCAATAATCGAACCACTTTCTGGGGATTAAGCGCATGGCTAAGCCTACTGGACCAGACACTAGCAAAGGGCAGGGGGTCCTCTTATCAGAGAAATGCTTCTGGAGCCAGTCTCACTACATGACAGATTGCTTTCATATTCCTGTCTGCAAGGCAACAAAGGATGGCAGTAATGCGATAATGCCAGAGTGCAATGGGTGTTAAGAACCCGTTGCATTTATGTATTGTATTTAGTAAATAATCAGGCTCATCCAAATTGTGATCTCACCACTCAACCAAGGCCATTAAAATCAAGGTTAATGCTTTAATAATCCTTTGCTTTTTTAAAAAATATGGTCAAAAAGAACCCTGTTCTATTTGCATGGCCATAATATTATTGACCTCTTCATCCTCTGAATACACATCAAAAGGAACTGAAATCAAAGTAATTACCAATGTTGTTCTCTCATGGTAAACATTTAACTTCTTGTACTGTTTCCTCAGTGTTCAGTAAATTGAAATGGATTAAAAAGCCATAGAAAGAAAAACTTGTTACAGGTCAACAGTTTCAATATTTTTACCCTACAATATTCTTTGCCAAAATTATTTGCATTTAAAAGAATTCATGTATGGCAAATTTGTAAAATAATGGAATAATCACACTTTAGTTCCCACTTTTGCTTGGGCAATTTCTTCAAAAAAACTCAAATGGACAATTACAGAGGCTTATGTGTGTTTTATGCTTTTAAGTATAAATTAAAATCTGCATATAACTCCCTAATATTATTATTTTGTCGTAGTCTACTTCTGATGTAAAAGAAAAAAAACACAGTGGTCATTAGAAAATGAAATTAGTAGTATCTTTAGAGGGAAAATATGAATTTCTAGAAATGCTTTGGAAAACTTGTATTCCTTCAATTCAAAGACAAAAATGCAAAAATAATTATCACCTCTCTTGAGCAGCAAGGACCCAATCCTAACTAAGTCTGTTTTTCAGAACTAGTTCATAGGAATATGTACATTGGAAAAGAAGGTTAGCTAGCCAGGTGACAGAAGGATGGCATGAATTCCAAAGGAAGACCTATAGTGTATTGGACAAATCCTCTACAGAAGATTTATGGAAAGATATGGATACAAATTGTATAAAATGAAATGTCATGGATGGGTTGCGATCTGTCGTGATGGAAAGAGTTTTCCACCTGATGAAATCTTGGATTCATCAAAGCACTGAAGTCCATAAGAGAGCATGATATCTTCACAATTTGTCTCTGCTCCCATTGAGAAACAGCCATCCCTCACTAAAGAAGATTATTACAAGACATCTGTCTATACTTGAGTTATGTAAACCAGTCATGCATTAATTTATTTGATAACATTAAAAGTACTTTTAATGTAAGACTTAGCTTCTCTTTTAAAGCAACTCATATGAATTATTACATAGCTTTAAATGCTGGAGCATGGCTAGACATTCTGATATAAAGATGCATCCCATTGAAAACGCTAATACCTTTTCAATTTTGCTAAACAATGTATAATCTCTAATGATTACCACTGTTTTTCTGGGAACAAAAGATTATATTATACAAATACTCCTTTCAGAAGCTCCATACTGTTGATAAACAGCAAAATTCAGTAACAATCAATTTAGGATACTGGGTGTTAATTCTGATTTACTGCCACACTTAAAAGCTCATAAGGAACGTATTTCCTTCTATTTAAAAAAATCACAGTACTTAAAATCCATTTAGTTGTTTCAATAATCAGAAAAATTATGAAATGAGTCTGAAGTACAGTGTTAGGCTAAGTATCATTCTTCTAAAATCACAAAGCTTAAGTTTCTGGCTATAAAGATAGTGGCTTCTAAAACTCTTACTCTTTGCTAAAGGGTGCTGTAAATATGGCATAAGTGTGCATCTTTTTTAAGGAAAGTAGGTATCAGCTCAGTTCCTGGTGAACAGTGAACTGTCTCAAATCCAACGTTACAGAGGTTGGCTCAATCTCGCAAACACAAGTCAGTGCTGAAAAGAGGCCTTGGACTGAAACAGCCTGGAAAATGTATTAGATACTCATCCTAGCAGAGAGCATTTCGTCCAAGCAAGTTAAAATATAATGTGGCAAAAACTTAAATTAAACACATCATTTAAAATAAAAATCTTGCCTTATAGTAGTAAAGTCCCTGACACAAGAAAACAAATTACTGAGAGTTAGTGAAGGAAAGACACTACTAGCATATTGAAGGAGTTTTCTTTTTAGATTTTCTCCAGGCATATTAAGGGAGTCTCCACATCCTTCCTTTACTATACTTGTCTATTATCCTTTGAGAGTGTTTTCCCCCTCCTTTCCTTTTTTATTCCATGAAATAGAGACTACAGCAACCTTCCTGGGTGGTTTGGAATGGTGGCTTTAGGAAAGATTATAGAAGTATGTCTACTGTAGCTAGCAAAAAAGTCAGAATATCTGAAGAGATTAGGTATAATTTTCTCAATTATCAGTCCTTGGCTTCTAAAAGGTCTGTTAATTTCTGTAAATGTTGTTAAACTGCTATTGTTAAAATAAAAACAAGTTTAGTAATAGCATTGTTTCTACTTGAGCAAATTGAGGCCCCAATCACTTATCTCCTCTGATAAGTTTTATATATATATAATATATATATATATAATATATATATATATATACACATATACACACACACACATATAATATAATATATATTGTAATCAATAATATACACACATAAATAATGCACATAAATAATATAATGAATAATATACACACAACTTCCCAAAGGAGATAGATACATATGTATATAATATATATGTTCTAGTATGTATTCTAATATATATTATAAATTAGAAACAAAATCAACCTATGTGCTGCTCTAACAAGTTCCAGTGGCTCATAATAACAATATTAACTGACATCTTTACCTTATACTCTGAGGTGGAGAGTTTTTCAAATCTTTTGTTTATATCAGGGGAATCCAACTTCTTAGCAAATTGAATATAGCACAATTTATTTTGTTCCAAAAATGACAAGATGATGAAACTGTCTGTGAGAATAGCTGGAAGACAAATAAATGTCATAATATAATTTCATGGGTCACCAATTTATTAACAACTCAATTATATTTTTCTACTAATTGAAAAAAAAAGAGCAATTTTTCAGGATCAAGCTTTCATATCTTAAAAGACTTCACCGTGACTCTTCGCTTGGCTAAATGAAAATATCTGGAACTATAAACTTCTGTCTTTAAATAACAATATCACCTTCTTGGATTCATAGGTGATTAGAGACCAATGCTCTCAATTAACTTAATTTTATGGATTTAAAATGAACTAAAAAGAAACTTTCCTCTGGGGTCAGGTAAGTTGAATGTCATAAATCATAATAGGAATGAGATGCACACAAAAATTAATCAGATATAATGATATAGTATTAACAAAAACAACCAGCTAATTTTATTCAATGGCACAGGGAAATAAATGATATTCATAAATATGTATTACATAAGATAATGATAATAATACATGAGAGGAATATTTCTATTTTATCCTCAGGAGTAAGAGGTCATTCAAAGTTTTACGTATTTTATTTTATTTCTGCGCCCTTTGGTAAAAACCAGTGAACAATAGTGGATGTACACAATTATAGGAGTCTGGAGAATTGCCAAGGAATCATATTGTTATCTGGTTCCCAAGAGACAGCATTATTCTGGGTATAAATGAAATAAACTTAAACGAAAAAAGATGATTTCAAGATACAAATGAAGTTAGTTGGTAGTCTCTGCTTAATTCTTAGTGAAGAGGCTTCAGTATGACAAAATCATCACCATTGCCACAAATGGTACTTTTGTTTGCAGTGTCAACAGACAGGTCAAGGATTATACACATATGGAAATTGACACTACAATATGGAAGCTTTCCTTTGCATTAAATTGCTGTAAGGAAAAGGAAACTGCAAGGAAATAATCAGCTATCCCAACCTGATGTTGTCATTATTTGATATTAATAGCAACCTCAGAATTATACAGTACCTTTGAGAATCAAAATTGCAGCTCATTTATTCTCATGGTTTTTGTGTGAGGTGGGTAGTTGGTACAAACTGAACAAAATCAGTAGGGCTGTTGGTTAAGTATTGATATTTTCTTACTTTTATTCTAATAATTTCCATGAGACTCAGTTATGATTGTTTAATTCAAGATAAGGATAATTTTAGCATTTTATCATAATTTACTGCGTATATAATTACTGTGTATAAAATAACACATCTTTGAAAATTTAGTAAATGACTTGAACATTTCTCATATGCTGCAAGCTAAATATAAGGATTTCAACATAATGCCTTATGTGGCTTAAATAAAATTAATCATACATTTGACTCTAATCTTATATTTATTTATGAATAGAAAATCCAGTCTAGAATCTCTCAAAAGTGATTAATCATAAACTTTTAAAACAATGACATCTTACAGAGAGTCAAGAATAGAGGTATTTCATTGGGAGTTGTGTTGACACATTTATTGGCTCATTCACCCACTCTTGTTTTATTCATTCATAATTCAGTTAAGAGTAAAAAATGCTTGAAATGTCAAGAACAATAGAGCTCTCTTTGGGGGGAAAACCATTTGAACATAAAAACTAAACTGACAGTCTATTAATAATGTCTTGTAGGTATAGTAGTGTGGTATGGTAGAGAGGAGTGTGGCAAAGTTAGAAGAGCATTAAACCTGATGGCCAAATGCCTACGTGCCCAGACCCATTGCATATTAACTCTATGAGTCTGGGCAGTTTGCTTAACCTCTGAGCCTCATTTTACATATCTATAACAGACAACGTGGTAGAGTAGAAACAGCCTAGGACTTGGAGCTGGGAAACTGAGTCTGAATCCTGCATCTGACACGGACTAGCTGTGTGACTGTGGGATGGTCCCTTAGAGTTTTTGAGTCCTGGGTTTTGTATCTGTAAAATGAGGATAGTACTTAGCTCTGATGGTTGCTGTGAAGATTGAGTATGATGACGTATTAAAGCATGTGGAGAGCCTTAACGCTCTAACCTCTTAAAGTACTATGCGAAGTGTTCCAAAACTTTAAAAGTTCTAATTTATCAGACCTTAAAACTGCAATAAGACTTTTGAACCACACTATAAAAATGTCAGGTATTGCTGCTGTTGTGGATTCGTTCATTTGGATCCAACTCTTTGGGAGCCCCATGGACCATAGCACGCCAGGCCCTTCTGTCCTCCACTACCTCCCCAAATCTGTCCAAGCTCATGTTCATTGCTTTCATGATGCTATCTAGCCATCCCATCCTCCGCTGTCTCCTCCTTTTGCCTTCAATCTTTCCCAATATCAAGGTCTTTTCCAGTGAATTCCATTTAAGCTTTATCTTCGGTATTTGTCCTTCCAACGAATAGTCTGAATTAATTTCTGTGAGTATTGACTGATTTGGTCTCCTTGCTGTCCAAGGGACTCATTATTATCACTATCATTATTATCACAAAATGAAAATGATTATCTACACTACTCCTATTACTAGTCAGCAGATTGTTACAAAGAAAGGTATTTGGAAATCTGAAAGTATATAACTGTGAGTTTTGCTTATTAATTCCTGAGAAACTTCCCTGTGATTCTGTAGGACAGATATATCTTTAATTACAAAAGCAATTATTGATAATAATATTTTTTTTAAAAATTCAAGTCAACAAGGAAGTGTGACTTAGTAGGTAGAGAGCCAGGATCAGAATTAGGAAGACTTGAACTGAAGTCCTGACTAACAGATACTAGCTATGTGATCCTGAGCAAGAAATTTTACCTCTCTGTGTCCCAGGCAATTCTCAAAGCGACTGCCAAATTACATTGGTAAAGGGGAGTTTGCTAACTGGGAATTCCTTATACCAATGAAATCATAGGTCTGGAGAAAAAAAAATAATGAATCGGGTCAGAAGCTTATTAGGAAGGATCACCTTTGTGCTCATATTTCCCAATTCCAATTATCTACAGTTTATCCTGTCTAGATCTACCTTGTACATAGTTGTTTTCATGCTGCCCCTCCCATTAGACTGTGATCTCCTTGGGACTGCAGAGACTGTGCCATTGGTATCTCCAGCACCTAACTTTGTGCCTTGACTTAACAGTAGGTGCAATCAATGCTTGTTGACTGACTGACTGAGCTATTGGTTTTCCTCCCTTAGGATGACCAATGAGTATCAGAAAAATAATGAAAAAAAAAAAGAGATCACCCTCCCGCAGAGTATGACCAATTCACGGTGTCATATAGCTACTAAATCTCAGTGCTGAAGGGCATGTCAGGACCTCCTGCCTCTCATCCAACATAAGAATTCCTTTCATGATATCTCTGCTAACTGAGCAAAATAAAATGGATGATGAATAAAAGGTACCTCAAAGATGAGAGCAGAATCATGTCAAGTTATAGCTGGATGTGCAAAGCCTCCAGAACAAATACAACTACATGCTTTTTTTTCCTGGGTCATATGCAATTAGGTGAGAAAGTATTTATCAAATGCCTATGTGCTAGAAGCTGGGGACAAAAAAACCAGAATCAAGGAGTTTGCATTCTACTGGGGAACACTAACTTCTTAAGGGGATCAGGAAAAGCTTTCTGTAGGCCATGGTTGCTGAGCGGTTGCAGAAGCCCTAGGGATTCCACAATGGGAAGATAAAGCGAGAGCGTATTCCAGCTTTGTGCAAAGACAGGAGATGACACAGCGCGCACGGGGAAGGGCAAACAGGCAAGTACGCCTCAAATTCAAAAGGCAGGAGGTGAAGAAATGTAAGATAAGCCTGTAAAGGCTGGTTGGTCCCAAGTTGTGAAGGGTTTTAAATAACAAAATAGGAATTTGTGGTTTATCCTAGAGGCAGTAGGGACAAAGTGAAGATGAGCAAACATCAGATATTGGGCATTTTCTCTCTTTCCCATATTATATATGGAGAACTTCACATTTCTTTGGCATTATCACCATGCTCTCTTCTTGGTCCTGACATTTGGACATGAACACATGAAGCACGATGGGATGTCTTTGGGGACAAGAAAATGCCAGTTTAAGATGCTAACTGTGGTCTCTGTAAAGCCTAGATGTAGTCATAAGTTCTAAAGCTGTTTCTAAAATTCTTATCAAAATCTTTTTAAACTTGAAGATCAGACTTTCCATAACTTGTTTCTAATGAACATAATTTTTAATAGTCACATACGCATTATTTTTTTACATAAATACAGTAGAATCTCCATAATAACAGAGCTCCTTATTATATGGATCTGGCTTTGTTGGGGAGTTGGGATTGGTAAGGAGGCTGGGGAGCAGGAGGCAATCCTGAACTTGTGATTTCATCAGTGTACAGAACTCCTTCTACCAATGCAGATCAGCAATTTTCCTGCAATTTCTGAGAGTTACTTTTGTGTACTGCAATAAGTCTAATCATATAAATATGTAACAGTGAAATATTAATTTATGAAATGTGTAAGTCCTGTCCTTGTTCCTTCCTTAATTATATAAATTTGTATATATACAGCCTTCTCATGCCCTGTCATGTTTAGATATCATCATGCATTAAGATTATAGCAGCAATTGGGTTGAACACATAACTATATACTGAGATTACTCTGCACCTTTACTCTGCCTTCACAGCATAGATTTTTAAGATTTTCAAAACCAAATATTAGTGACAAAAACAAATTCCCAATTGTACTTTGTAATAGAATATTAAAAGCTTAACAATGTTCCTTTCGAAAACCAACATGATAGGACAGATAAATTTTCTAATGGTGTTTACACATTCTGAAATTTCCAGTCATCGCAAGAGATCATGACAGAGGCAACATGGTGTATGTCCATCAGAGGCATCAAACTCAACCTCAGCTTCATGTGGGCCCAAACCTGGGAAATGTCTAACAAAATAAATGAAAATAAAATACAATACAGATATGCGGTTTTCTAAGTCAATACGCACCTGCAGAAATACATTTCTATGTAAGTTTGACATCTCTAGCGTACGTCAGAGTAGACAAAAAGATCAAAAAGACTCAGGTTTGAGGCCTGCCTCTGACATAGATTGTTATGAGATCCTAAGCAAATCTCATAACCTCTCATCACCCATAGGAAGCCCTGTATTCACAGAGCAAGTGCCAAAATGCATGGGCAGAAAGTGTCTCCTCACTGGAAGATTCCCTGTACCAAATGAAATCAGAGGTCCAGTAAAAAGGGAGAGAGAGAGAGATAAAGGGAGAGACCATAGATATCAATGATGTTGATAACAGAATATCAACTGATATTAATACACTTTAATATACATAGCAAATATTTTTCAAATACCATCATAAAGAAACATTGAAGAAATTCATGTCAATTCCCAATTTCCATATTTATAGGCATTTCCTATCATGGACAAAATTCCAAATATAGATGCATATTTCAAAACAGTTGTATATTTGAAAGAGAATATAAAACACTTCAAAATGTACTTAATGCTTGACAACACAAAAATTAACTTTGATATTAAATACTAGTCTAAAACTTGTGCCTGGTCCCAAGGGTGGTAACTATGGCAGTACAAGCAATTACTTGTTGTGTTTTGTAAACCTCTAGTGGCAGTAATTAGTCTACCTGTTGACAGAGAATTTCTCTTGTTCTATTGTTAATGTAGGCAATTGATTTGCACAAGGGTGTAATTACCATCACTGATGGTGTCGGAGATGAGCTTCCCCACTAGGGTTCTGTCAATCACCACTTTATCCAGCTGTGGCCCAGAAAGGCTTAGGGACACCAATACACCTGAACCAAAAAGGAGCTAAATTCAAATAATCAATAAAAAAAAAATCAGTTAGTAATGGAACCAGATTTTTAAAAATAGCATTTCACATATCAAGAAATTACAAAAAAAAATATAGCACCACAAAAATTACAGATATGTTCCTTGTTTTTATTCTTTTTAGATGATATAGAATACAGAAAAAAACATGTATTGACCAAAATTATATGAAGAGTTGAGATTATTCCAATTTTATTAGGAATAAACTAAATGCTTATTTTTACATAAATAATTGATTTTATTTGCATTATAGAAAACACACTAAACAAAAAGTAATTCAATCTAGTATTTGATTATGGAATATCAACGCATAAAAAAGTATATAACTTTGGTTGGAATATTCATTTCTATTATACAAAAGATCTGTAATGATTATTCAGTAATTATTAGAGAAGTCAGAACATTCTATTTATCTTCCCTTTGGCTATCTCTTATTTTGGATTAAGGATCTAACAGTAAAACAGAAATTCACTTTTTTTTCCCTTCCTCAAGCCCTAACATATTATTGTGAAAAAGGAAAAACCCCACAGTTCATACAGCAAACAGAACTACCTACTTTGTTGTTCCTTAGAATTCTCCATACACCAAAACTGCTATTTCATTTAAGTCAGTAACTTTAACTTTGTCACAGATGCAATATAATGTGCACACATTATATTAGATTTTACATGTTGCAACTTTATAAATACCAAATATCTGCAAATATTCATGGGTAGTCCTGCCTAATAATAGGGAGACAGGTAACATCATTGAGTTTATACTGTTTTCTTCCTTCTTCAGTAGCATAACTTGATCATCCCCAGATATCTTGAACAGTGTATAAGTTCAGTGATAAATTCTGTTGAGTGAAATGATCAGCATAATATTAAAACAATGGATGGGGGGATAATTTATTATTTAATAACTAATTCCCCAATTGGGAAATCTAACTACAAAAAAATATCCTTCAGATAGTTTGCTATTTTATACAACCTTGCTGGAAAAAAACCCAACCTCTGTATAACCTCTAAATGTCTATTAGTATATGAAATTTCAGCAGTGGAAGAAAACATTTCACTTCCAAGGTAACAGTATCAGTGCTGATGAGTCACCGTATAGCACATGGTACAAGAAGACCAATGGTTAGTTAACTAATCATAAAAATGCTGGCCAAACCCACAACACAACTAAGATTTTAAACAAAACTGGGAATTCCCCCACCCACCTATCTATCAGGTCCCAGCTAGAGAGGAGAATTCCATGTCAGGACATATTTGAACATGTGTGGGAGACTTTGAAAGAGGGGCACGAAGAAGACATGGAAAGACCTTATCTATCCCAGGTTCGTGAATCAGACAGCAAATTGAAAGGTTCTTTATGATCAACTTATTTTTATAATTTTGTCTATAACAAATTCCTCGTCCTCAGGGCCTCAAAAGTATAGTCTATTAAGAAGAGGAGACTTTAAAGCATTGTTCTATTTCATGTCAATATCATGTTGGTGTGGGTGGGGAGAGAAATGAACTGTTGGCTTTGGAGAAGAGAACAAATCATACTTGTTAGCTTTGGAAACCAATCATAATAGCTACATTTTCCCCAAAGATTTCAAAACAATTATCCTATAAATATAAATTGCTTATGAAGAATAATTGTGAACAACCAAGTTATTCTGAGCACTATAGATATTCAAGTCAATTATAAAGGACCTATGAAGGAAGATGCTATATACTTCCAGAAAAAAGAACTGATAAATAGAAGTATGCATAGTATGGTATTACATATATTTGCAAATCTGCATCAAATGGTGACCTTCTCTAGTGTAGAGAGGAGAATGAAGGAAGGAGAAAGTGAAGAACTTAAAATGTAACAAAAAAAAAGAGAAAAAATAAATATAAACTGCATAACTAAAATACCTGCCCCTATGATATTCAGTGATGTCAAATATCAATATCACCATGATTTGTGAAAAGTCCATGTGAGTCAAGTGAACAAGGAAGAGATGAAAGGAACTCTGGGAGGAAGTAACCACAACAACTGTAATATGTAAGCAAGATAATGCCAAGGGATGTCTAAGGGACCTTGGATATTGGGAGAGTGTATTTCCAAGAATTCAGAGAAAGGAAAGAGAGAATCTGAGGGGCTAAGAAGTCTATCCAAGAGGGATGGGATGTTCTCAAGAACAAAATTTGGCCATATAAAGACTAATTATCTCCATGAGGAAAAAAAGAAGGTGCTGTCTAAGGAGAACACTGCGGATACATATGGAGCAACCCAGATTTTTTAAAAGGCATGTAAAGAAAATTCAAGCAGGGGTAGAAAACTGAGGATGAATATGAAAGTATGGCATGGTCTCGTAGGACTAACATCAGGAACACTAACGCCTAGAAGGAGATAAAACTTGCCATGAAGAATTACAACAGCAAAAAGATTTTTAAGCTATATTGGAGGCAAGAGGAAGATAAAAAAAAAGGAATATATTTGGAAGCTGATGAGATGATAATAATTAATAACCAAGAGATCATTTCTATTTCATCTCTGTCTTCTACACTAGGGAACATAATCTTCATACTTGAAGGATAAAAGAAAAGTAGCTTGGAAGAAACTGAAATCCAAGACATGTAAGGAGATGGGCCTACTTCCCCTCAAACAGTTTAAATCACCAGGCAGGCACAAACACATCGTAGGCTACTGAAAAAACTGACTGAAGTGGCTGCTGAGTCACTGTTGGTGATTGTTGAAAAAGAGATTCAACTTCCATAAGAAATTATTTTTCTTGGTGTGTATGTCCTTTCTACTGTTCATATCCTATTTTTCTGCCTATAACTAATTTAAATAAGTCAGAGAGTAGTATTTTAATAGCATTAACTTTGTACTCATTTTGATCTTTACTTTAAAAAGTTAATGTTCTGATCATTCATAGCCACCTGATTTCAAGAATGACTCCCATGTCAGTAATAAGTGATTTCCTGTCTATTCAAATATAATAAATTCCATTGTGATATTATTTCATGTTCATCATGTCTAGTACCTTCCAATTCTTTTTCTCAACATAAACATATGTGACTTACAGACTTTAAGATCCTGCAGAGTGTCTTTAATTCCTTATTCTCAATTTCTATTTTTCAACATATTCTTCAGCTTCTTCACCTAGTGCAATATTTGCAATGAAAGTTACCCAATATCAAAGTAGTGTTGATTTAACTGGGTCTTACAGAGTTATTTGCAGAATTTCTTTACCTCTTCATAATCTGCAATAGATGGTGGTACACTGTTTGCAATTGTTTTCGTGGTAGTCTTTTTGCAAATATTTATCATGAGCATAACAACATGAGGGGACCAACTATCCCATGAAATGATGTTTCTTAGTGCTTTTGAATCTACAATAAAGGATAATTGCTCGTTCCTTTATTTGTCTCTTGAGGGAGGGCTTGTCAGCTGTCCTTCCAGTTAACTACAGTTTCCTTCTGTCTTCTGGTTTTGGTTAAAGTGAGAATGTTAAGATCGACATGATTTAAGTTGTGCCAGTAGTGTGATGAGCACTCATTGATCTTTAGACAAGGATCTCACATTTAGAATGTCAAGAGCTAAGTTAAAGTTTATGACCTATCTAAAAACTGAGTCTTAAAACTCTCTGTCCAGTTTTCTGCCACTCTCTGCCATATCACTGAAAAAAGAGGACCCCTTGGGACAAAGAACCATTTTATAATTTTCATTGTTCCACATGTTGCCATAGCCAAAGAATTACCAAATTACCAGCCTACTTACTGGTCAACAATACCTAGCTATGTGTTTAGCCAGGCTGGTCCTCAGAAAGACTACACACTCAGTCCACCGCCTGGACTGTACTCAAAAGTCTTTTCCACCATGGTAAAAACTGCCACACCTGGCACTCTGCTGGCATAACCTCTGAAAAACCAAAGGCTCCAGCTTCTGGGATAAGAACTCACTCTTGACAAAAACTGCTGGGAAAACTGGAAAATAGTATGGCAGAAACTAGGCATAGACCAACATCTTACACCACATACCAAGATAAGGTCAAAATGGGTACATGATTTAGACATAAAGGGTGATACCATAAGTAAATTAGGAGAGCAAGGAATAGTTTAGCTGTCAGATCTATGGAGAAGGGAATAATTTATGACCAAATAAGACATAGAGAACATTTTGAAATGCAAAATGGATAATTTTGATTACATTAAATTAAAAAGGTTTTGCACAAACAAAGCCAATGCAATGACGACTGGAGGAAAGCAGAAAGCTAGGAAACAATTTTTATTGCCAGTGTTTCTCTGGCTGTCCCTCATGTCTGGAATGCTCACTTACCTCATCCCTGGATTCTTTTAAGTCCCAACTAAAATTCCATCATCTACAAGAAGGCTTTCCCAACCCTTCTCAATTCTAGTGCCTTCTCTCTTTCACTTAAATCCTATTTATTCTATATATAGTCTGTTTGTACATATTTGTTTGCTTGTTGTCTCCCCCATTAGATTGCAAGCTCCTTGAGGACAGGGACTGTCTTCTGGCTCTTTTTGGTATGCCCAGTACTTAGCACAGTGCCTAGCATGTATTAGCCACATAATAAAAGTTGATTGACTGACAGGCTGGCAGACTCTTGTTCTTTTAGTATCTTTAGGGTACCAAAGCAGCAGTTGGCTAGCCCATCTGTTTTCTCTTTTTCTTGATTCATGACTGGTCCTCCTTCTTTTCAGGTCATACTTACCTTCAGTAAAATCACTGGATCACGGATTTAGAGCTAGAAGGGACCTGAAGAGGACTTTTAGTACAAATCTCTTATATTACAGGTGATTAAACTGAGGCTTGCGGAGGTTAAATCCTTTGTGCCATAAGATTATTTGTCATTTTCACACTTCTGAGATCATGGTTTTTCATGATTTATATTCACATAATATTACTAGGGGAGTAGTGATACAAAAGAGATGGGCTTTTTTACAGTAGCAGGTGGACTGGGATCATTCAAAGCATTGTGCAGTAATACTAGC